TGGTTCCTAGGCCTGTGCTGTTGAGAATGACTGTGAGTGGCATTAGGGCAATGACAAAGAGCAGCTGTAATAGTGAGTCTCCTTGGAAAATCCCTCATTTGATATTAACTGTTACAATTTCTTCTCCATTCACTATCAACCTGGTGTTCTGTTTACTCATGGCAGTTTTGATCAACGCTATTACAGATTATTATTGTTGTTGTTTTTATTATTATGCTCTCTTTTTGTTTGTGGGGGGTTATCAAACCCTCAAGAACAGCACAGGAGGCAAAGTGAGGGCAGGCAGTGGGAGTAGGATTGCTAACTTCTAAGAGGGGCCTGGGGTTCTCCAGGATTTATAACCAATCTTCAGACTACAACAGTTAGTTTCCCTGGAAGAAATGGCAGCCTCAGAGAGCAGATTCTATGACTTCACATCTCCACTGAGATCACTTCCCTCCCCAGACTCCCCCCCCCCAGGTACTATCCCCCAATTCTCCCGGGATTTCCCAATCCAGAGTTGGCAACTGTAAATGGGAGGGAGAATCAGTAGAAATTGCTGCCTCCCCTCATCCTCCAACAGAAATGCCATTCCATCAGAGAAACGTCTGGTTGGATCCACACAATTATTTTGCCTTTTTAAAAACAATACACCGTCTCTGCCCAGAATAAGGTTTCTGAGCAGGACCGTAGCTACAGTGGGGCGTCTCGGGGCTAGCCCCCCCCCCCGTCTTATTGGCAAGGCCCCACAACTTCCCATCCAGCCCAGGACCCCTGAGCAGCAGTCAGTGCAGGGAAGGAGCCAGGTATTCCTGCGTAGCTGCCTGGTGCAAAAGGGCTGGCTATGGTGGCAGTGCGGAGCCAGATAGCACCTCTCTATTTCCCCCAGAAAGTCTATTTAACTTTAATTAAATTACCTCTACTTAAAAAATCCTGGTTACGGGCCTGTTTCTGAGTGTTATGGGGAGCTCCCCAAATATGAGCAGGCCATAAATACCAGGGACAGACAGTAGTCCACACAGAAGCATCTGGGATGTGGAGGTGTGGCTTCCAGAGAGGAGCCCTGGCTTCCTGCTAAGTTCAGTTCCTTTCCCTGCCTAAGAGCTCTCCTCTGGAAAAATAAACGTTCGCTGAGATCTCTTTCAAGGTGCCTCCAAGGTGCTAAAAGGCATTGTTTGAACATGCAAAACATTAATATTGACACAAGGGTAAGCCACAGAGAACAGAAACTGCAGAAGACGTTGGAAAGGGGCCGCTGGCAGCTCCCTCCCACGCTACCATTATCCTGACTTCTGTGCCGTGGGGGGAACCGAAAAAGAAGACCAGCACCAGAGTAAAGGAGGCTGTGGGAAGGGAGGAGATGACATGGCCGAAACCAGGCTGAGTCCTTTTCCCTGTATGGAGGGCATTCAGGTAGGACTGATTTCATTCCTTGGTCATGATGTCTTTACATAATGAGGGTCTCAGTTTCCTCAACACAGGAAGACCTTGAGGGGCACTTCTTGAACATTTGCCCTGGACAGGAAGGCTATGAATGGGTTGGGGATCACAGTCCATGTAGCTGCCATGTCGAACGGTGGTTCGAGTGTCGGACTGAGACTGGACACTCTGCTGTAAGGCTTTCTGCGTGACCTCAGGCCAGTCACTCTCTCAGCCTACCTCACAGAGGTTTTGCGAGGATAACAAGGTGGAGAGAGGGAAAGCCTTGAATGCTGTCCTGAGCTCCTTAGTGGAAGGGCAGGAAGCAACCACGACCCCAAGGCTGCTTCCATGAAAAAACCACCATGATGGGCTATATGCTGAACTCAATTTCTCGCTCAGCATAAACCAGAACGCCACAATTCCAGAGAAGTAGCCATGTTAGTCTGTGGTGGCAAAAATAAACGGGCACCTTAAAGCAGGATCAAAGGGCCATGAAGCGAGCTATAATTATGTAAAATTCAAATGTACAAAAGAACAGTTCTGAGACCATCCAAAAATGTAGTCCTTGGTGATAACACATCCTCTCTTTGTTCACTAAACTGATCAATGCTCATAAATGGCTGAGGGATACCAGACACTTCTTTGGGCTTCAGGAAATACAGTCAAACATCTTTCTGAATATGAATTAAGCAGTTTCACACTGAAGCCTCCTTTGGAGGTGGTTTTGCTGGAGAGCAGTGACTTTCAGGTCAACAACCAAGTGTCCGGGTAGATGAACATGCTGATCTCTTATGACCATTGATCCTCATAGATTAGAATGACTTGTTTGTCCTAATGTAGAAAGCGGGAGGCCTTTTTTTTTACATATGATAGCCAATGCTCCCTCTAAGCTATGAACTCTTGTGAGCAAAAATTCTACTTTGTGCGCAATAGGCATTAAAGTTCTGAGCAAGTGATCTGGCTACTGCATAAATTAGTTTGCTCTGGAGCCATCCTTCCTGAGCTGAGACAAAAATCTGTGAGCTGGAGGGTAATTCAGCTTAGAGGGATCACTGATGATGGCTGAGATTTCTTTGGAGGATGAGCCCAAGATAGTGTGTAAAGGTAAAGGTAAAGGTTCCCTTGCTCGAAAGCCAGTCGAATCCGACTCTAGGGTTGCGGTGCTCATCTCCGTTTCAAAGCCGAAGAGCCAGCGCTGTCCGAAGACGTTTCCGTGGTCATGTGGCCGGCATGACTAAATAAACACCAAGGCGCACGGAACGCTGTTACCTTCCCACCGAAGTGGTACCTATTTATCTACTTGCAATTTCTTGCTTTCGAACTGCTAGGTTGGCAGGAGCTGGAACTAGAGACGGGAGCTCACTCCCATCATGCGGCACCTGGGTCTCGAACTGCTGAACTACTGACCTTCCACAGCCTGCAGTTCAGCATCTTAACCACTTGAGCCACCGCAGCTCCTAATAAGATAGTGTGTAGCTGATGTTATTAGGTGCTGTATTTCCCAAATGGATATGGGGACAGAGTTGGCATCTTGGTCTGTCGCAGTAAGGCCTGGCCCCTTGGTATGTGTCCGTGTTACACAGCCCACTGTTGATGGCGAGAAGCTGGAATCCTTCAAAGTGTGAAATGTAATTAATGAGCTTTGAGAGGAGTTGCAGGATTGTTTATGCAAAAGGAGGGATCACCTCACCCTGTCCTGTTTCTCTCCTTGGATTCAGCTACTGTTTTGCTGGGCCTCTTCCCCCTGATTTTGGCTCAAGTGTACGTTGATTTCATCACACAGCAAGGGATATTTTCAAACACTAATATGAAAATGCAATCAGGTGATGGCCATGGAGTGACTGGCTGGACTGAGTAAGCGAAAGGTTACAATTGGTGGAGCTTCTCAGCTTCTCAGAAGATGGAGCAGAAGAAGCAGGAACCCAGGGAAGGAGGGTTGGTCAAGAAGAAAGCCCGTGGTTTTGAAGGAAGGTTGGTCCAGAAGAATGCAGGGGGGATAGGGAACAGGCAGACAGACAGCATAGTGTAGTGGATAGAGTATTGGCCTAGAATCTTGGAGACCCAGGTTCAAATCCCCACTCTGCCACAGAAGTTTTCTGAGTGACTTTGGGCCAGTCACTCTCTTTCAGCCTAACCTCTTTCACAGGGTTAGGGTTGCCAAACCCCCCGGTTTGCCAGGGGTCCCCTGTTTTTTGGGGGCCACCCCCAACACCCCCAGCCACCCACCTCTCTCCCTTTAAGGGTGTGCAACCCGTGTTTCATCCCAAGCACGAACTCCGCAAGCTTGCAGGGAAAAGCCATCTTCATTCTTAAAAGGGAAACGCAGCTTTTCTTAAAGGGGAAACGCCGGCTGCCAGCTACTTTAAGTGCAGGGAACTGCTGTTTCTGGAGATCCGGTGCACGGCTGGGGGGGGGGGCGGTAGACGTCCCCAACATGACGTCTTCACATTGGGGATGCCCCACCCCTTCCAGGAACGCCCCCAAAGTCCCCCGCTGGGGGTGGAAGATGGACTTGGCAACCCTACACAGGGTTATTATTGTGGTTGTGAGGCTAGAATGGTGGAGGAGGAGGGAACCATGTATGCCGCTCTGAATTCCTTGGAAGAAAGGTGGGATTAAAATTAAATAGATTAATAAGAGCTATTCAGGTGAGGAGAGTTATTCACACCATGTTTTTAAACAGAAGTCACAAATCTTGGGCTGCAGATTTTTAGTTTTCAGAACATCATCTGAGGTAAAACTGTGGCAGCGAACTAAAAAGTACCCTTAGGAACTTTAGAGGGGAAAGTCTACCTTCCTGTCTATTTCATTTTTATTCTTTCAAAGTCTGTCTTCCAAACCAAGCAGGGATCTGCCATCCGCAAGCAGGCAGGGCTGGAAGTTTGTACACAAGAGTATGAGACTGCAGTGCAGGCAGAGAATCTTGTTAGGAATGGCCGTCTTTCTTCCTACCTAATTGTTCCATTGTATGCCTCATAAAGCAGGGCAGTTTTTATTATTTAAACATATTCCAAATACATTTATCACCCTTTTCTTCTTTGGGGCGAGGACTCAAAGCGGTCTGTGCACCAGGATGTGCATATTATGCACAGAGATGCACAAACAGTATTGCACACAAAGTCCTCTGGATCACTGCCTAGTTTTCTCACTTTGACAAGACTTCCCACTTAGTTTACAAAAGCTCACAGCCAAGTAAATAAATTAAGAGATTACTCCTTTTTTTCCCAGAGGAGAGAATAAAGAGAATCTCTCTCACACACACACAAAAAGAAAAAAATTTTAGCCTTTTCACAGAGCTTGGATTGGGCTAGTGAACATAATTGGCTGAAATGGGTTTTTAACAGTTGCGGTCTTGATATGACATATCCCGTGACGTGTTCAACAAGGAAATAATCTGTCATGATCAGTACCTTATCTCACTTCTGGATTTGCTTTCTCCTGTCAGACTGTGCTCTTCAGTTGAAGAACAACTTCTGCACTGTCACTCTGTCTGACATCTGTGGTTAGTCATCAAGAAAGAACCTGGCCCCCCACACTCATGTGGCTGTTGTTCTGGGACCCTTTCTTGGAAGGCAGCAAGGAGAGAAATCGTAGTCACCATGAACCTATCAGACACTCCACTGGGCCACAATAGGTCCCTGGATGTACAAGGCACACCACCAGAAGAAGGCCACTCCCTCTGGGAAGTGGTCTTGATTGTTGTGACAACAGGCATCCTCTCATTGGTCACAGTCATGGGGAACCTGCTGGTGATCGTCTCCTTCAAGGTCAACCGAGAGCTGAAAACAGTCAACAACTACTTCCTGCTTAGCCTTGCTGGTGCCGACCTCATTATTGGGGCAATCTCAATGAACCTGTATACCACGTACATTGTCATGGGACGGTGGGCAATGGGTAGTGTGGCCTGTGACCTGTGGTTGGCCCTAGACTATGTGGCCAGTAATGCCTCTATTATGAACCTCCTGGTCATCAGCTTCGACCGCTATTTCTCCATCACCCGTCCCCTCACCTACAGAGCCAAGCGAACGCCCAAGAGAGCAGCTATTATGATAGGTCTGGCGTGGGCTATCTCATTTGTCCTGTGGGCACCTGCCATCTTGTTTTGGCAGAATGTGGTTGGAGAGCGAACAGTCCCTGAGAACGACTGCCACATTCAGTTCCTCTCAGTGCCCATAATCACATTCGGAACAGCCATTGCTGCCTTCTATCTCCCTGTCACCATCATGGTGGCCCTCTACTGGAGAATCTACCAAGAGATCCAAAAGAGAGCGAAGGAGATCTCTGGATTACAGGCCTCAGAGTTCAAGAATAACCCACGAGCAACTTCCAAAACAACCCAAAATGGTGGCAGTGGAAGCACTAGCAGCTCAGAACGGTCACATCCTGCCGCCTCTCCAGCTGTGGCAATCATCCCCATGAAGGCTTGCTGTTTCCCTGGACAGAAGGCCAAAGGCATCTACTTAGATCGGAGTAGCAATGGTAGTTGGAACACCACAGAGGAGGAGGAGGCGGAGGAGGCCTCTGCCGATTCCTTGACCTCATCTGAAGGAGAGGAACAACCCTTCGAAGTCCACTCTATCTGCTCAGTGGTAATCCGGCTCCCTATGATCAGCGCCGTGATGCAGCCGCCAAGGGAAATAGAGTACCAAGATCCCAAGGCAGCCGCCAAGAGGGACTGGGTTGGAGAAAAGGGCCTGGTAACGATCCCCAAACAACCTCCAAATGAGGACAAGAGACTCAAAAAAGCAATGATACCCCTGAGGGATAAGACACAGGAAGAGGCCAAAAGGCAAATCCCAAGGCGGAGAAGGAGGAGGAACCACCTCTCCAAGCGGAAGACCCTCTCGCTGGTGAAAGAGAGGAAGGCGGCCCGAACGCTCAGTGCTATCTTGTTGGCCTTCATCATTACCTGGACACCCTACAACATCATGGTGCTCGTGTCAACTTTCTGCCATAAATGCATCCCCCCAGCCCTGTGGAAATTTGGGTACTGGCTCTGCTACGTCAACAGCACTGTCAACCCAATGTGCTATGCTCTGTGCAACAGGTCCTTCCGAACCACCTTCCGGATGCTGCTGCAGTGTCACTGGAATCGGCATCATTGGAGGAAGATGCCCAAGAAGGTTCCCAAGAAGATGCCCATCTCCTGCGCTGTGTCAGGCTGCTGAGCAGGGCATCAATACCCAAACAGTGAGTATGGGGTTAGCAAATGGGAAGGAGTTGACCAGCATTGCCAGTTTTAGGAGTGGGTATACTTAAGAAGGATAGTAATATATAAAACATTTCTGCAGCATTAAAATCCTTGACGGCACTGAGCTGATCCATATCGTACAGTTTTTTCCCCAAGATTCAGGAGGCAGGTTTTGTTCATATGAAAGTGCTTAGCTGGATCAACTCAGAAGTCCCTCTGGACTTTAATGGCAGCCAGCCAAACGATGAGAAGGGGCCATGGCTCAGTAGCAGAGCATCTGCTTGGCATGCAGATGGTCCCAGGTTCAATTCCCAGCATCTTCCCATTAAAAGAATCAGATATTAAGTTGATGTGAGATCCTGGAGAGCTGCTGCCAGCCAAAGCCAGATCAATGGTCTGATTCAGTGCATGACAACTTCATGTGATTCTGGGAAGCTTAGAAGCAGGGCATGAAGACATCATGCCTTGCTGCCATTTGTTGTGCAAAATTGGAATTCAGGGGTAAACTGCCTCTGAACATGGAGGTTTCATATAACTATCATATCAGATTGCCAATGCATGTTTTAACTGACCTCTCGCCATCTAAGGATTTAAGAGCTGTTCTTTTGGATTTAGACCAGAGGTCCATTTAGTCTGGCATTCAGCCTCCAGGCAAAGCCCTCAAGCAGGGCAGAAACCAAAACCCCCTCCACTGCTGGCTATTCCCAGTAGCTGGTGTTCAGAGGCAGACTTCCTCAGGACTTGTTATAACTACTTAGCCATCACAGCTAACACCTGTTGAGATCTATGTCTCTGCTAACTTGCGTAATCATATTTAATGAATGGCCACCACAGCATCTTGAGACAGTGAATTACGTATGCTAATTTTGCACTTGGTGGGAAAGAACTTCCTTTTGTCCATCCTGAACCTATTACCAGTTAATTAAATGGGTGATCACTATTTTAGAGAAAGGAAAAAACATCCCCTTTTGCACCTCAATCACAATTTTATAAACCATTCTCGTACTCCCTGCCCCAAGTCCAAAACACAGTTTATCCTTTCTTTGCAAGAAAAGGTATGCCAGTCCCTTGATCCCTTGCCATCTGCAGCTTCTACTCAGAATCTGCCTCAACATCATAAGGGGTGTGTGTGTGGGTGTGTGTCTCCCAGTGCCACTTAGCTAGTAGACTGCACAGACTAACCAGTTACCCTGGAGGACCAACAGAACAGGACACAGAGGCCATGGCTTTCCTCCTGGCACCCAGATTCAAAGGTTTACTGCCAGTTTGGTATAGTGGTTAGGAGCGTGGACTCTAATCTGGGAGAACCGGGTTTTATTCCCCACTCTTCCACATGCAGCTGCTGATGTGACCATAGGGCCAGTCATAACTTCTTTCAGAGCTGTTCTCTCAAGAGCAGCTCTCTCAGAGCTCTCTCGGCCACACCTACCTCACAGGGTGTCTGTTGTGGGGAGGAGGAGAAAGAGACTGTAAACCATTCTGAGACTCCTTCCGGTAGTGAAGGGTGGGGTATAAATCCCTCCTCCTCCTTCTTGTGTGGAGGTTTCCTTTAGTCATCTATGGCTAGACTTATCTTCACTGAATCTGCCTAACTCTGCTTTTAAAGCCATCTATTTCTTCTTGGTAGCAATTGGCCAGGCAGGGCAGGATCCTGATAAAATTTTTCTCACCTTGTTTATCCTTTCCCCCCAGCTTTCCTAAGGACAGGCAGCCACAAGACCCTTGGCAGGAACAGAGAGGATCCCTACGGCCATCCAAAGTCTCCTTTGCAAGAAGGACCTACCTACAGCCTGGGGGCAGAAGCAGAGTACTCCAGGACCCACCAGTTGAACTTCTCGGTGGCACAAGTCACGTTTCAGAGCCAGCGCACTGTGAACTTTTTCCAAGGATAAGCAAGTGTTACTAATGGTCCCTGCTCACCTCAAACTGTGCTTAAGGACCGAGGGGACAGGAATAGCCATGGGTGGGTGGTATATACCCCACACAGGTTTCAAGGTTTGCCTCCCAATAGTGGGAACAGAACTGGTCCCAGGAGCGAAGGGGTACTGGATAACACTTGCTGGCTCCTATGGAGGCTCTTGCTTCTAATCTTCGCTCTTCAGGGGGCCGAGTTCGGACGACAGTAAAACCCACTGATGGAATCTCGTGCTAAAATCCAGAGAGTTTCATGGCCTGTTTCACAGCTGTTGAGGTCCTAGTTCTGCCCCCAAACCAAGCTTGTGACACACCAAGGCAAGCACGACTTGCAGGTTGCCAGTCGCTTGCCAATGCCTGTGTTGTTGCAGTCCCAGGGTGGCAGCGAGAACTAAAGACTTCTCGAGCACAATACAGCATCTTCTTGATGGCTCAGCAGGCCCAGTGCCGAATCCAGCTTGGCTGTACCAGTGACATCTGAATACACAGTCTCTTGTTTACCTTCTTCTGTCACTTGCTTGCGCCACGTTTGAGCAAGGGCACATTTCTTTGTGATGTGGACTGACACTGAGGGCAACTTAAGAGGAGTCTGATCTGGTCAGCAAATCCTTGAATGTGAGCCCCACTGTAGAAGTTCTTTCCTACATCAGGAGGATGAGCGGGCTTCTGAATCCTGACATAGAAAACACTAGTCATTAATTACACTGTAGGCACAGTCAGTAAAAATATAGCTTGCGATGTACTGGTTCACACATGCGGATACACATCCCTGGATTAGCGGCAGCTGAGTGCAGGAGCCAACCCAAAGGAAGCCTGGTTTACATGTGGAGCAGAAAGGATGTGACAGTCAAGTGGGTTGAACCAACAAAGGGGACAGCTCTTATTTTTGAGTGCTTCTCAGAGGCGGACTGGCCCTTTAACTTACAGGGAAATTTCCCAGTGGGCCACTGGCCTACAAGCTCACTGGTGGCAGGAAGCAAATAAAGCCTACTCTGTCAATTGGGGGGGGGGACACATTTCACTGGCAATGACAGTGCTTCAAGGGTCACTCGGCTGACCTTGTTCCAGGGCTCTTTTTACTTCCCAGTCCACTTCTGATGCTTTTTAAAAAACTCCCTGCAAGTTAAAAACTAGCACCAGGGGGAAGAAAGATTGTAGTCCAGACTGCTGTCTGTTGAGCTAGTTTTCTCATCGTAGGGAATTTGCTTAACACCAAAGAGTGTTCAGAAGTCTCTCCCCTCTCCCAATAAACTGAATACTAGGGATGGACACAAACTGGCTCACAAACTAAAATTTGTGATGAATTGTGGTGGTTCGTGCCAGTTTATGAACGGATACATTTCCAGACAGACTGTCTCTGCTCAATCTAAAAGGTTACCAAACTTGGAAGCATTTGTGGGAATTTGGAGGGCATTTAGAGGAGTATCCAGAGGAGGTCCCCTCAGGGCCGGCCCCAGCTTATTTTGTACCCTAGGCAAGGATCCCTTCTAGCACACACCCCATGCGCCCACCAATTTTCAAGGCTGGGGGGGTGGGGTGGGGGGAGGGGAGGGGCCCTGTACCGGTGTCAACCTCCAGCCGGGGCCTGGAGATCTCCCGGAATCACAACCACTCTCCAGAAGAAAGGGGTCGCAGATCTCCGGGAAATCCCCAAACTGGAGTTGAGTCGGCAACCGTGGGCGGGGGCGCGGGGAGGGGAGAGATGGGGAATCCGGATGAGAACTGGGGGGGCAGGCGGTGCCTGGGCTCCCAGCCCTGCTTGGCTGTGGCCCCGGGCTCTCGGAGGGACTCGGCTGGGAGGCAGCCCTCTCTCTCGCCCCCTCCCTCCCTCATGGGCCCTGGGAGGGTGGAGGGCGAGCCGGCATGGGATGGGGGTGCCTGGGGGAAGTTGCTGCCCACAAGAGGAGGACGGGGAGGGTCAGGCAGCACCTGAGTGAAAGGCCCCAGCCAGGGCACGGGGCGAGGTGGGAGGTTGCTGCTGGGCGAGAGGGACCGGCTTCCTCTTGGGAGAGCGGCGGCGGAAGGAGGGGCGAGGAGGGCTGGCCTCCTCTTGCCCCCACCAGCCCTGGCACTGAGCAGGAGGACTCTCCCGTGCAGCAAGCTGAAGGGGGGGTGGACCCCTTCCCCCCAGCACTTCAGTCCCCCTCACCTCCTCAGGTCATCGCCTGAGAGCATTTGGCGGCCTTCTGCACGTGCCAGGCAGCGGGGAGCCGGAGTGTCGGGGTGCCTCGGCACTCGACAGGGGGGGCGGGCAGGCTGCAGCAGCCGCAGCAGGAAGAAGGGAGGGAGGCCAGCCGGCCGGGGCACTTGGCTTGGCCGGGTGGTGGGGAGCAGCGGTGCCGCAGCTCGGGGTTGGCGGAGGAGGCGCGTGCACACGGCAGCGGGCGATGGAGGGAGGGCGCGCGGGCACCCATAATGGCCCTGCGCTCTAGGCAAAAGTCTAGTCTGCCTAGTGAGCGAGCCGGCCCTGGGTCCCCTGCAACTTTGATGTCTCTAGCTTATACAGAATCTTTTCTGTACACTCCTGAACCTGTGTCTGTCAAAATGACCGCCTGTCATTTCCCCAGAAAGCACTTTCCTGGGAGCACCTTCTTTGGAGGGCCATAGCTCAGACCCCTTAAATTCAATCCTCACCAGACTTGGAGGGCAGGTAGAGGAGAGTCAGTCAGAGATCCCTGGCAAGATTGGTGTCTCTAGTTTGCACAGGATCAGTTCTATACACTCCTGAACCACTAGAACCTGCGCCTGTCAAAATGACAACCTGTCATTTCCCCTTCCTTGTGAACACCTTCGTTGGGGGGCTGTAACTCAGACCCTGTAAATCCAATCCTCACCAAATTTGGAGAGCAGTTAGGGGAAAGTCAACCAGAGATCCCCTTCAAGTTTGGTGTCTCTAGCATGCCCCGGGGGCGGGCGTTCTACCACATCACATACAAACACAACAGGTTTATTTGGTGGCTACAAGTTCGACAGTTCATGGTTTGCAAACCGGAAACACCACACACCATGAACCAAACCACATTTTCCTGGTTTGTGCCCATCCTTAGTGAATACAATCCATTA